GTGGGGCGACCGCGGCCGCGCTCCCCCCCACGCCAAAGCGCCCGTCTCCGGTCAAAGTGTCACTGACGGGGCTACCTGAGCAGGAGGGGAAGGACGGGGAGCTTTGCTCTAAATGGTTGTAGGCGCCCGTCCCACGGTTACAAATTGCATACTCTAAGAAGGAGTTCATCCTAGTATTGTCCATCTGCCACTGATGGAGGAGGGTCAGCCTGTTTTGGGGGGGATTCCGCCTGCCCTACAACCTTTAGATAGTATGTCAAAGCTGTAAAACTTCCTTCCATGCATCACTGGTCCTCGAGTCCCGCAGCCTTCGGCGGAGCCGGGGTGGGGGGGAGCAGGGGGAGGCGGCCATGTGGTCCGCCCCCAGCCCAATGAGCGAGGGGCTCCTGAAGTTTGTCACAGCTCTGAGCTCATCCATCAAGGCCCTGACATTTGCATGACAAAGGGGTTTCAATCAAACGCTGCCCATCAATCTGATAACAACACGAATGCGTCAAAATCTTTCCTCAAAGACTTTAAAAGAGAGAAGGGAGGTGGGGTGCGGGGAGGTGGGGGAAGAAGGGCTGAGGGGAGAATTAGAATTATCCATGACTGTTTTAAGTGCTAAAAAGGCCCCCGAGTTATGCGATTAGCCAGTTTCAGCAGAACTTCCCCTTGCTCCAGCTTAAAAAAAGGTTTTCCCCAAACCTAGCTCCATGTGAGAAAAAGGAAGACAGATAGGAAAGAGGTGAGGAGCTCTGCCTGCTCTTGCCCCAAGCACAAAAGGGTGCTATGCTCTTATCTTCGTTTCCAAACTTTTCCCTAGAAAATGGCTTGAACGTGTTTGGCGTTTTCTGGGCTGAGGAGCCCAATAAAAAGCTCCTAAGAAAAATACACTCCATGTGTTTCAATTTTGCCACACCGGCTTTGTGTCTAGGGCCAGTGTGGGTAAAAGCAATGTAATTAAATCAATATTCTAATGAGGCGATGAAATAAAGTTAGGAAGACAGAATGGCTTTTGTTGGAGAAATACCATATCCAGCTTTGCAGTTGGAGGAATGGAACTAAAATTGATCCGTGTGTCTGCCCACGTATCTTTCTACCCATCCACTCACCCATGCACCTACTACAGAAAACAGGAAATATTCGAAGGGCTTTTAACCAATTCTGGCACACGAGGCTCTGCTTTTCCATGACAAACCTGAGTTGATCTTGCCCGGAATTCGTGGCCAAACTGGAGTTTTCCCCAGCAGATCCCAGCTGATGAGGAGGTGGAAAAGCTGCTGGCTTCAGGCCGGCCACTCCAGTGCTCAGAGAATGGAAACATAGGTAGGCAACATTTATTTACTTGTTAGCAGAAGGGAGACAAGAGCACCCAACAATATGACGCCCACAGTCATTTGTTACTTGTCAGGATATTTACTGGTTATTCAGCCTCTAAGAAGGACCAGGAGGTCTCTTTTTTTTTTTTTCCCCCTAGGCCAAAAGTTCACTTTGAAAGGCACCAACACGTCCCTTAGTCTGAAGGTTTGGCTGATGCAACACGTTGGAGTAACATTTGTTAAGAAACTGTAACACAGGCAGCCATGGCATCAACCGTCCTCACTTCTTTAAATCCCCCTGAGAGAAAATGGGACTTTCAGCCAATTACAACTCTCGTCCTTCAATAAAAAGAATAAGGAGAAAACTGTTTCCAGAGCTGCGTACCTATTTATTCATTTATTCTGCCGACTTTGCTGATGCTGAGATATTCAAGAAGAAAATCTTTTAAGTTACAAATGTTCTTTGAAACTCGCTACCTCCTTTTTTTGCATAAAACAACCCAAAGTGATTATAAAGATTCAAAGCAACTCTCATGTCATTCCCCTTGCAAGAGAAATCGGCTTCTAATTTGATTCCAGGAGTGCTTTTTATATTATGTTGCACTCGCGTTTAAATTGAATGTATTATATTTAAACGATGCTTACGATAGATGATTTATGGGTGTAAAATGAAAAAAGAAAAGGATAGATGTTTATTCCATCTTTGAATCAATTGTTTCGTATTGTCTGATAATTTTCCACCGTCATCTCACTCCGCTGGTACATTAAGGGGATGCTTTATGTCCTTAAAACGCAGATGTTTCTGGAGCTTCAGAATTAGCTCCAGGAGAGCTCACTGCTGTGGAGTTAGGGACGAAAAAGTTTTGCTCTCCATCTCTTCTCAGCGATCATTAAACCCGAGTTGAGACCTGAGGCAGCTCTGGAATGAAAGCACAAAATCTCTTTGGCTGATGATAAAACCGGATAGGACGGGATCAGAATTTTAGCCATGAAATGCAGCGAAGACCCCCACCTGAGCAGGAGATGAATTGTGGTTCTGGGGCTCCTGGGAGTACACGCTGTCCTCCAGCTCTGGTTTACTTCCCCAAAATGACATGCTATTCCCCAAAATGCATGGCTTGTGGCGACTGCGTGGTATTTTCGAAAGCCATTCAATGCCTGCACCCTGGGAACCGCTTAGAAATTGCTTTTCCAAACTTTCTTCTTAGCCCCTTGCCCTGGATCCGATACCAAATTGCCGCTGTTTATTTGATTGAATTCTCCTCGTGGAGAAGGTGTCAGACCCAGTTTCGGTACAGTACTTCGGAACCTGCAATAGAAAGAAATACCAGATTATTGTTAACAACCAGTCGCCAAGTGAGTCCAATTCTTTCACCTACACATTTATTTCCTTAAAAACCTCCTTTACTGGGAGTTGAGAACAGGAAGGCAGGCAAAGAAAAGGTGTAGGTGGAGATTCTCACATTATCAGAGCTCTGTCCTACCTCTCTCCCGCTCCTCCTCCCAGATAGTTACTCAGCCTTTCATTATATTTATTACTTGATTTTCACTTATATATCGAGGAAAACAGTCATTATTCCTGCCCCCTGAACCACAAATGGGGATGCTGCTGTCTTTCACTCACAAGGATTAAAATAAAACAGCTGGGGGTGGATGAAGGTGAGCGGGGAACCTTCACCCATTTGATTCCTGCAAAAAAAGCAACTCCTATGTCCAGGAACGGGGCCGGTTGGTCCATGGGAGGCAAAGGAAATAGCTTTTCACTGCTGGTCCAGATTTCTGATGGGCAGAGCTGTGCCCGGAGCTACCCCAGAGTTTGTCACACCGAGCCTTGTGGATGGTGGAAGCACACTCACACCTCCTTACCACTAAATTAGCAACGTGGGGCTTATTTTTCCAACACAGTGAAGACCTCTTCTTAAAATAAAGCTTTTATTCAGAGTATTTTCTCATTTTTAACAGACCGAAGTTGCTCCACGCAACTCGGAGCTGCAGCAGCCTTGAGGGGAGAGCAAAGGGAGGTTTCTCCCTCTTCTAAAAGATGGTTTGTTTGCTTTGAAACCCCTCCTGACGCAGAGGATAGGGAACACCTCTTATCAAGAATCTTCACCCTAGTAGCTTTCAGTGCAGGCGACATGGGAGAAACGAGGCATTTCCAAAGGCTCCGGAGGACTCGGAGTCTTCAGATGCTTCGTTTTGGAGTTAAATATAACTCTCTGTGGAGAAAGTTTGTGTCGTGCGTAAGAAATGTCACTTCTGGCTCCTGGCGGGGTGATTTATAAGCAGCGCTGCTGACTTCGGGTGCGTGTTTGGCTGTGGATTTTGTTATCACCAAAAAGGACTTGTCTCTAGAAATTGTCAGAGAAATTTATAGACCCGGCATGCGTCTTGGTTAGATCATAGCCTGCTAAGCTATATCTGGGGCTAAAAACTGAAGAGGAGAAATAAAATAGTACATGGGAAAATACTGCAGAGTTCGGGAGTCCAAAGAAACGCAGAAGGAATCCTTTAAATGAGTTACAAGCACCGGGCTATCTCCAAGCTGCAGAATAAATACGAGACAATTAAAATAAGATATAATTCTTATCTGCCGCTCTCGGGAGCCGGGCGGGAACCGGCACTGTGAGCGGCTTCAGCACCGTGTCGTGAAGGTCCCTGGACGGGGACGGGCACAGACGGTCAGCATCCCCCGGGGTGGACGGGAGCCTTCCCAGTCAGGGAGAGGGACATGGTTTGTTCTCGGTCTCTTGACCAACACTTTGAGTGGAAGATTTGAGTGAGAAATGCCAAAAGATCAAAGTTCTCCTCCTTCGATGGCTCTGGGGAATCTGTCCTGGTTCCCTGTGAATCACATCGGCTGTTTCCGTGTGGTCCCCAGGGCAGAGGCATGTCTGCAAGCCCGGTATCTCACTACTGAGGTTCATTTAAGCCTTTCTGCTGTGGAGACAAGGGGTCTGTACCTGCTGTTCCTGAGCTCATCGGTGCCCTACAGGCTCTCCATCCCGGTCCAGCCCCGCTCCAGGCTGTCCTTGCCTTCACTCAGCCCATCTCGGCCACCCCGAGGGACCCTTGTCCGGGTCCGGCTGGGGCAGCTCTGGTGGGCGCAAGGCCGAGGCTGAGCCCGAGAGGTCCTAAAGCCTCCAGGTTTCATTCAGAGCCAGCACTAGGGAGGCTTGGCTTGGGCGAGCTTCACCAGTACCCTCCCTTTAGTAAGTGCGTGAATTTATTAACATCTCCATAAATGTTGCTAATATTAGTGCGTCAGCATCATGAGTATCCACCAGCATCAGTTTAAGCAGCATCACGCTGTGGCTGGGAACTGGATTCACCTGGCTGAACTGCAGTGATTCTGAAATTAGTTTCTCTGGACCCCACACTCTGTTTTTTTCCCTTCACTGAGTACAGAGAGGAGAAAAACCCAACTGGCAAAGCTTAGATAGATGCGGGAGGTGCCAGGATGGCGAGCAGAGGAAGGTCCCCTCTCTCATCCTCTTCCTTTGATGGTGATGGAGCATCATTCCTTTGATGGTGATGGAGAACTGGGATGCGGCTAAGTGCTGGGAAAGGATGTTCCAGTTCAGCTGAGAAAATGCTCACTGGAGGGATATCCCCCAAAAACCAAAGTGTGGCATCGGCAAGAGGAAGGTCTGGTGGGTCCCGAAGAGAAAGTCACTCTTCCCACCCCTAAGGACCCATTCCCTCCTCGCTGTCTCACGGAGGGTTCACAGCCCTGAGTCTCCTATGGCCCTCAGGGACTGGTTCAACATCTTCAGGGCCTCGAGTAGCTCTTTAGCAAACACATCCCCAGACTAGATCAGCACAAGATAAATATTACTTTAGCATCCCGACAACACGTGCGAGCGTGTCTCATTTGCATATTTCG